TAGATAACTGATACAGGATACAATAACTCATATTCTGGAAGTATCCATTTTTCTCCACTTGCTATTAAAGGAGCTGAGTCTGACTAACTTCAATGACATCAAAGAAATCAATTTCCCTAAATTTCATGAAAATAAGCAGCCAGGCTGAAAACAAACAAGCAAGCAAACAAAAAAAACAAACAACCATCTTTTCTCAGGGGGAGACACTAGTAAGATCAACTTTTATGAGACATTCAACAACTGAAGTGTCTTTCTTAGGTTTTTTTCCTACAAATATTTTTAATTATTTGTATATTTTCTTTTAAGTTAGCTCTATACACTTAGAAGGAAAACACTAAATTTTGTAATTCAAAAAGGGCAAGAAGGAAGACCTGGAGAACTACAGGCTGGTCAGGCTAACCTTAGTCCCCAGGAAGGTGATAAAGTAAATATTTCGAGAAGCCCTTTCCAAAAACAACAATGTTGTCAGAATCCATGTTGACTGCAGATGTTCACAGAATCACAGAATGGTTGAGGTTGGAAGGGGCCTCTAGAGATCATCTAGTCCAACACCCTTGCTCAGACAGGGACACCTAGAGCACGTGGCACAGTCACATCCAGGCAGATGAAGATCTCCAGAGAAGGAGACTCCACAGCCTCTCTGGGCAGCCTGTTCCATGTTGTTTTAAGATACGATATTGTTCTAAATCATTCACTCAGATTTATAAGCAGCTTTTACACTTGCATGCGAGTTGACTCAGGAGATCCCAATGTATATTAAGTGTAGAGATGAATGATATTAGTCCAATAACTACTCTTAGCCTTAAGATCCATAGTTCACAGGTGACAAGAATGCAGCCTTTTCCATTAGTAATGATTATAGGATTTTGCTAGGAACACCTGCTTTAGCAGATAACAGCGATTAGAATTTCCTCCTGTAATTAATTAAATCATCATATCTATCAAGAAGTAAAGTCTAATTCTGTGTTCTACCAGTGTAAATTATACAAAATCATGGAACCATATAGCATATTTGAGTTGTAAAGAAGCTCTGAAGCCCATCTAGTTACACCCTATACTAAAAGCATGGCCAAATTGAAGGTTAGATTAGGTTATTCAGTACCTTGTTCAGTCAAATTCTGATGATCTCCACAGTTGCAAAATCCACGCCTTGTCTAGGCAACTTATTGCAGTGCTTATTTTCACTGTAAAAACAATTTTTGTTCTATCCAGTCAGAACCGCAATTCTTGACCCTTACCCCATGTTCACTCATTGTGAACATCTTAGAAGAGCCTGACTCAGTGTATCCCCTAACCAACATAACTGCCCTTTGCTAGACTCACTGCAGTTTGCAGATGCCTGTCTTGTCCTGGGAAGTCTAAAACTGGACACTATACTCTGTATGCAGTCTCACAAATGCTGAAAAAGAGGGTAAAATCACTGCTTTCCATCCTCTGGCTACATACTGGCTAATGCAGTACAACACATCGTTAGCCTCCATCAGGCCAAGGGAGTGCTGCTGATTCATGTGCAACTTGTTGCCAGCCAAAAACCCTCAAATCTATTTTGTTAGAGCTATTTCTTAGGCCATTGGTCCCTAGCCAAATGATTTCTGTCAGATATTTCTGTCAGCTCATTTCTCCAGATTGTAAAGGTCCCTCTGAATGACAGCCTTTTTATGCAGCATATTGACTGCTCCCCCGAATTTGGTGTCAATCACAAACTTGCCAAGGGTGTGCTCCTTTCCCTATAATTATGACACCATAAAACACACCACTGCCATTTCATCCAGTATAGCCAATGCACTGGTTTCTTAGGTAATAAAAAACAAAGGACTGTTTTGATAGGTCATACTTCTCAGAGTAGTAAGGCAGGAGTTGTGAGACTAAGAAGGAAAAAAAAATAATTTAAATTGGAAATAACATTTATATATATGCATATATATATAAGAGCAGAGAATGACAATTACTCTGGTCAATAATGATTTGAAACTGAATTTTGACAGAAACTATTAATACCCACACATAGTGCAGAAACTCTTCTATCTGGTTGTATTTCCATATAGTCTCATCTTAACCTAGGTAACTAGGAAATGCAAATGAAACTGTTGTGTGTGCTTTAATGTTAGTGCAAACAATAATCTTTATCTAGTCTTGGGTGGAAATGTTCATTAAAGTAACACCTTTGGCACTTTGAGTTTTACTCTACAGGACCAATGTAAAGACAACATAGCATGAACAGAAGTTTTGCCCAAGTTTTCTCTTTTTTTCCCCAAAGATAAACCAATGGGCAATATTCTACCTTGATTCCAACAATGTCAATCTGCAGACACTTCAGTAGCTGACTGACTTAGTTGCATTGCTGAAAATTAAGCTCAAGGATTTACTGTAACTGGATGTGTCAATCATTAGCAGAGAGTCTTTGTACTAGATGGTCACACTGACTGCAAATTTTAAGTGTAATGAAAAATACATGCAAAATTCATTTTTGAGTGTGGCGTATCATCCAAAACAAAAGCAGGAGAAAATAAAAAATGGAACAGAAGCAAACAACCTCCTTCTTTGAAGAACATGCACATGACAAATGCACTGTTGTATCTGGTCTTTGTATGAATTTTACAATACCTATGACGCTGACTCACCTTGACCTATCAGGAAACAGAGGAGCTATAAATTATGTTCCAGTGAGGAACCTCAGTCACTTCCACAATCACCTGAGAGGCACGGAAAAAAACTTCCAATCTTCCTGGAGTCAAAAGGTAGAATTTACATTGATTTGTTTGTTTAAAGTATTCATTTTTTTTCAGGTATTAAGATGTAACCTATCATAGGAGACTTCTGGACCCTTAAACCAGCTAGGAAGGTCACAGAAAGAGGATTTTATTTGGTTAAAAGTGTGGATTAGACAGGCAGTGGCATAGTGCAAGCTGAAAATAAGGAGAAAAAAAAAAGATGAACAATCAAAAATGTGTGAAAAGTGGCCTCTGTACAAGAAAGGAGCATCTCGGCAGAAAATTAGATGTACATAAAGAGATAGAGAAAGACTGAATGTATTGAACTGAATATATATTCGACTCAGTGTACTCTATTGCTATGTTTAGATATCATCAAGTCTTTTCAGCATTGGGAAATTACCACCTTCCTCTTGCACAGAGTGGCTGCTAAGTAGGACCTTATGCGACAATGCTGTGCAAGAGAAATGACAGCTTGTATTAGTCCGTTTCAGGTCATTTTCAAGGATAATCAAAAATAATGGGGATGCTCTTTTATAATACAGATTCAGTTGTGTGAATAATTTAGGATACTTCTTTTTCAGGATTGAGTTTTTGAAGGAGGAAAGGGAAAAAAAAATCATAAGTTTGCCAAACTAGGGGTTGTTTGACAAACTAGGGATGCTAAAGCACTGTCTTTCAGTGGCAGGTCCCTGTACACAGATGGAGTTGCAGAAAAGTCAGCAAGATTTGGCACGTGTCCTGATTTATGTTTGACTAGGGGGGAGAAAGGAGGGGTGACGGAGAGACTGATTTTAGGATCGGTGCCTAGAAATTAATGCAGAGCAATTAAATTTACATCTTTTAAACAGTAAGCATTTGGTTGAAACCTGCGGGACTGCCAAAAGTGCATTAGTATGTTGGAGCAGGAAATCCACTGGTTCTTAAAAAGCATTCCAATGCCATTTTGCAATTTGTATCATGGGATAAATTACCAATTATATACATTTAATTAATATACTCATTAAAGTGATATAAAATATCCCAGGAAACTAATATTTCAGCTGTATTTTTAAGTCAGTTTTATATGTTTTACTTACAAATTAGAATGCCTGACAAGGAACAGCTATTTTCAGTAGAGGCAGAAAAAATATTTTAAAATGTTTTAAGGGATAAATGTTCATTATTTTTCTATGAGAATCAGCACATTTTGCACTGAGAAGATATACTTCTGCTTGTAATTTAAGGGCACATGAAAATAATCCACTTCTCTTCCTACTTTCTAGTGAGGAGGGAAAGGAAAAGAATCATTTTCCGTGTTTAAAGCATTTTTTTGCCTTTAAACTCCCAGCTTACGTACACTTCATCAAAAGCTCTAAGAAGTAGAGAAATGAAGTTTAGAAAAGGTACTAAGACAAATCTTGTGTGATCCCAGAGATTTTTAAGAATGGAACAGATTAACTCTAAATTAAATAGTGCCATTAACCAGATCCAAGAACTGAATCTTTTCCCTGGAGCAGCTCCTCTCTTTACAGGTTGGAAATTTTGTGTTGCATCCAGTGTCACAAAAGTGAGGTGAGGAAAATGTACCATTTAGAAAAGGGCAGCTGTTCTCACCTGCATATTCTCCAAGAGCAGGAACACCTTGGGTTTTACACAAGCTGGTTGCCTCCAGGTAAAGAGACCTTGCAGAGTACGGAAAGACCAGGAAACCCTATTGGCCTTTCCCCAGGAATAAATTAAAACTAAACCCAGCAGCCTCTTAAAGTCAAATAAGAGCTTATGTTAATAACATCTCTATAGCAACATGCCCAAAAATTCTCTTGGAGAGGGGTTTGGGAAAACTGCCAAAACAAGTAAATTCCAGTCTTGCCTGCCTCAGGTAGCTGAGCAGAAACAAGATGAACATAATTCCTATGGCTGACTGCAATCAGATACCAGATATAATGACCTTATTTTACCATCTATACCACTGTAGTGGGATGGTTTGTTCAAAACTCTGAGAAGGCTCCTGTTTCTGTACTAACTACACAATACTAATTTTGCTCAATAGAATTACTGGAAAAACTAAAACTAAAAATAATAATAAATGATTCTTAGTGTTTCTAGAAATTTTGTAAAGTGGAGAAGGATTTTTTTTTTTTACTTCTAAAAATGGAAGAGAGAAGAAGGAAAGAAAGCAATCAATACCTTGCTGCTTGAGAAAACATCTGGAGAAGCACGGGAGAGATGTGTTACATGTTTGGAGAGATGAAAGCTCCATAAAGTGGAAAACCAAATAACATAGGGCCCATTCTTCCCTTTTCAGAGATGATTCTGCCAGCAGTGTTGCTGTGTCTCGTAGCTGTGCTGCCCTGGTCCTCTGGAGAGGTAGGATTCATGTTTTGCATGTGGAAAATCTGGATTGACCTGGACAGACTCAAGGCCTGATTGATTCTGGCTTTTCCTATGCACACTGGTTTAAATGTAGGAAGAGTCTTGTTAGATATCTGGGTTTTGCAGAGACAATATCCTTGAAGTCCGGTGCCACAAAGAAAACCCTGTTCTCGAGGTTTATCTATTTTCAAAGCAGATGAATGCACCTATATTTTCACACCAAACTCTCTATTGGCTCTGTTACTCATAACTGTGTTTCTCAGACCTGTACATACTTTCTGAAGATCCAACCCAGGGGGATCTGTATGCTTCTCCCTTTCCTCTCAGTACCATTCCCTTAACAGGCATCACTGGTTTCCTTCATATAGCTTAATTGATTTATGTAATCCATATACACTTACAGCAGTTCCTCTTACTGAGTCTAAAGTTGGAAGTTTGCTATTTTTGCTTCAGAAACACTGACCATTTTTCTCCTTTATATCAGCTGGTTTACTAGAACTACTTCTTTCCACAAATATTATTTTTTTAATGCTATAAGACTGAAGCTCATTTAAGTACATTAAATGGTGAATACAAAAGATGTGCTTGGTGCGTGATGATCATTGCCACTTGGATTAGGCAGAAGACTAAGGTATTGTTGAATGAATGTATTCATAAGGTATTATGAATGAAAAGAGAAATAGTAATCAAATATTGACGTCTAAAAGTATATTGTATATATTATACAATTGAAATATACGAGATGTATGAAAAAAATTACTCAATGTAGTTAGGTTGTCATGACGTGAAAATAAATTCTTACAAAGATTTTCCTACATAATACTATCATATCACTAAAACTAAACCTAAATAAATCCAACTGAATGAATGGCATTGGTAGGTAACTAATTACTTTATTCTGGGAAAAATCAATTTATTCATATATCCATATGAAGTGTAGTATGACAAAAATAAGAGTAAGAACTGTCGCACTCAAGTCAAAGTAGAGAACAGTAGCCTAAAAATATCATATTTCAATTTCTGTTCTTCATGTTAGCCTAGAAAATCAATTATAAAGACTGAAAACAAAAGGCAGAATTCTTCATATGGTTATTCTTGCTATTGGAAAATACAGGAAAAGTTTGAGAAATGAAGTCAGTTATGACAGGATTGGAAGAATACATTGACACCTTATTCCTTGTGCGGTGGGATTTCCTGATGGAAACATCACAAGAAGTCTGTGACAATCCTATTGCTATACACGTGCTTCAGTAAACAGAAATTGATAGGCATGTTTAAAATGTTGAAGAAGCATCATGAGCCCACTCAGGTCGTTGTCTGATTTTTAGATCCTGTTTCCTCAAACCTTTGCGAAGGAAACTATAGTAACAATAAGTCAAGTCTGATACACTTGACTAAATTTAAGGGTCTAATGTCACATGCAATAAGATATACTAGACATGATGTGATACAGGAACCAGTGGTATTTTTATTACTGCTAAACTCTAAGTGATGGATTTGAAGTGTTGCACATAAGAACAACCTCTAGATAGACCTAGGAAATGAATTACAGCACCTCCTTCACTACTGGGACCATTCCTTATCTTGATGTTAGCATTTTAACATTTCCTAGACAGTGTTCAATATTTAGTTACATTCAAATAAATAAGAAATATAATATAGTCTTTCAATTTAGGAACCTATAAGTATCGATACTCTGTCAACTAGCAATTCAGACCAACAAAAGCTGATTGTTGACAAACACAATGAACTCAGGAGAGGAGTAAGCCCACCTGCCAGCAACATGTTGAAAATGGTAAGTTACTTGCATTTCTATTTGCAGGGAGTAAAAGACCCTATGAGAGATACAGAACCATATGCAAGATCACATTATTTAAGGTAGCAGCAAATACGCTCTCACAATCTTTCCTGTGTTGAAGTGCTAAGAATACCAAACATAGGTAGTACTAAGAAAAATATAATTTTGGGAAGACTGGAAAAAAGGATCTGGCAAATTTTGCAGCATATGGACAATGATGCCTCTTTCTCTTGAAGAAATATTAAGAGGAAACACAACACTGTTCCTTTTTTTCTGATGCATTCATTACCAGTCTGCACTGCACAGTTAGTTTCCAGTCTTTTCATGTGTACACAATTACTTAGTTGTTCCTCCCCACAAAAAAAAAAGAAAAAAAAAGAAAAAAGAAAGAAAGAACACAGGTGATAGAAAAAGGAATGCATGATTTTTGTTTTTTTTTTTTTCCAATTAAAAGTGTAATTTCTAAAATTTTGTTTCTCCATAAGGAGCTGTTAAAGGTTACATAGCCAAATGACCAATATTTTCTCCTTTCATTAAGGAATGGAATCCTGAAGCTGCAAAAAATGCTGACATTTGGGCAAAACACTGTACTTTTCAGCACAGTCCTCCAAGAATGAGGAAAACCAGTAAGTAAAGTATGACCTCTAAATGAAGATTAAATTTGTGTTATCCATGTGAGCAGCTTACAGGCATGAGGTTTTTAAATTTTCAGATATCAAAATGAAGCTGAAATAATGTGTTAACATATTTTAAACTTAAAGGATTCCTATTTGCTGAGATGAGACTGTATGTTACTTAGCTATATCTAAGTATTCTATAGTTTTACAAAAATTAAAGGATAGGCTTCACATATCTCCCTTAAGATGTCCACAAGGTAAATATCTAAACCAGAATTAGTCATTGTATGTTTCTATATAATAAATGGAAGGACATAAACACTTCTAAGACATGATTCATCTCACCTATATTTTAAGGTGAGACACAGTGCATCTGAAAATGTGCATTTGTATTCTACACAAAATTTACTCAAGTGACTATCACAGAAAATGATATTTGAACTGAGTAATTCCACTGAAAATATGTGTAAAAAGATCACAAGAATGTTCAACAGGAATTGTATGAAGCATTGTCACCAGCTTGTCCAATTATCAAATTCATCATTAATCTTTGAAAAAGGTGTGCACATTTTTCGTTTTTGACCTTTTACCATATTCCTATTCTGGACTACTTCCCATTTCTATCATTTCAGTTGGTTTACAGCACCAAACATTTAATTAGCTTTTTGTTTTATTTTTAAAACCATTTGTCTAAGCATTTGAGATGACCTGTTATATTCCGTGTGACTTCATTAGTGCATGAATCGAAGACAAAATTCTGCATATAAATCCTCCTAGTAAGTGAGGAAAGTTAAATCCCGTTCTCACCCCAAATGTACTAGTTTTACAAGTACATCCCATGTACTTCAGGAGGTGAGAAAAAAGTATTCCATCAAAATATTCAAGAGAAAGAAGAGGACCCAGACTCAATTTATTACACAAATCAGCTTGCCTGGACTGGATAAAGCTGTCTAGAGTAGAAGGGATGAAGGGTAAGGGTTCAAAAGCAATTGACAATGCTAAGCATAATTCCTAATGAAGATGGGACTCTAAAATTTTAAAAAAATCTCTGGCAACTTGAAAGTAAACAATAGAAACTATAGGATTTGCCTGGATTAAAACAGTGAGTTAATTCATATGACAAATACCTTTCTGTGTACTAGAAATAAGGTTTGAGAGGTTTGAGTTGTTGGGATTTTCCCAAGATTACTGAACTATGACCTGAATATTGAGTGGGATTGCTACATTTTAAATAGCAAAATTAGAATTACCACAGATGAATCCTTGGTGAATTCATGGAAAGGTATCTATGGTTGTGCAGAAGCCCTGCCAACACCAAATTCCCAGTCAGACAGGTTAGCTATGCTGAAAACCAGCCAAGTGACAACTTCAGTAGTGACAAACTCACTGAGTCATTGACCTCTATGGAAAAAAAAAAAAAAAAAAGGAAAGAGCACTATCCCATCTGGATGAGAAGAACATCCCTTCCATATAGCCTTCTGCTGGTTCTCCTCACGTGTGTCCTTTTTCTGCATTTCTCTGTATCCTTATCTTTTCAGATGTAAGCTGTGGTGAAAATCTCTTCATGTCAAGTGTTCCTTTCCCATGGCCAGATGTCATTCAGGCCTGGTATGATGAGAAGAAAGATTTCAAGTATGGAATTGGAAAGACAAGCCTAGATGCTGTGGTTGGCCACTATACTCAGGTAGATCCAACATTTTTATATTTGAGCCTGAAACAATAAATACCTTTATGTTAGCTAAATGACTTTGCCTGTCTCATAAGTACACCAAAGACAGAAGAGTCATTATGATAAAAATAGCATGAAAGCTTTCAAAGTAACAGAATATAATTGAAAATAATGGGCTAAATGTCCTTTCACTTCTTTGTTTAGGAAATAAACTAGACAAGAGAAGTTGTTGATGTCTTGGTGTAGGAAAGTTGCAACCAGATGACATCAAGCCCAGGTTACTACTAGGGAGTGTTCCTGTACAGCAGGGAGGCAGGTATAGATTTAGGACAAGAGCTAAGAGAGACATAGTCATCCTAGCCACCCCATTCCCTCCTCATCCAATATAATAATTGGTGACAAGCAGGGCCTTTGGATCTGGCCTTGGGAGAATACTTGGTAATTTTGAGCTTTTTATGAATCATGATTTTTTTAATGCATGCTTTCTAATATATGTGTCTCAGAACCAGATTGTTATTTTGCCATTACCACCTTTGTTTTTGTATTTTGCTCCATTAAGCTGTTCGACCACACACACCCTAACTCATGTGTACAACATGACAAACAATTACCACTTGTATGCATAAAGATACTGACATACCAAAATTTTCTCAGGAAAAAAACAGAGGGAAGGGACTTATTGTCTGTTTAGTATTTGAAAAGTGATTAGTTTTAACTTTACTGTCCCATTGTTTGGAAAAAGGGGAAGGGAGAGGAAAGGGAACCTCTTCTGATCAACTGTGCATGATGCAGGAGACAAAATTTAAAATCATGATAACCTGCATCTTCTTCAACAGCTGTAACCGACTGGAAGCCTATTTTATAGAGACAGACAGCTTAATTTAAATGTTCTGAGGATGAAGAATCCACCACATTTCCTGAATATAAACCTCATTATATCCTAAATGTTCTTTGACTCAGGGTTAAATAGCACGAAAAAGAAAATTATGGCTTTCCTGCAAGATGAGACTTACATTTTGCTATACAGGGTAAATAAAGTGAGCCAGTTTTGCTTCTGATATGTTTCTTTAATACATAGTGTATTTAAATGATTTTCACTTTTTCTTTTTCTTTTTTTAATTCTCCCATGGTTTTTATTCTTACATCTGCAGGTAGTTTGGTACAGGTCTAACGAAGTTGGATGTGCATATGCTTATTGCCCTAAGATTTTGGGATACATATATGTCTGCCAGTATTGCCCTGCGTAGGTATTGATTCTGATACTGGAACTCCTTACTACATTATTAAAATAAGTTAGATGATGGAATGCGTATCAGTGTACATCACCTGTAGATGGCATAAAAGTCTGCGGACTCTTTGGAATATGAAAAGACAGAAACACACTTGTAAAAAGAATTGTTATACCAAACGAGAAAATATAAAAGTAACACATACTTTCAGATTAATTTTTATTTACCTACCATTCACAATTTTCATCATAGTGAATCACAAAGGAATATTTTCTACATTCTCTTTGATGTCTTGATTCACAAAGGCACATTAATATATACAGTACTATTCAAACTTTATCATTAATAACAAAACAATAGTGAGAATTTTAAGGCAGAGTTTTCACAAATTTGTCTAAAAATAATTTTGACAAATTGACATTGTAATATAGAAAAAAATGTTTTAGCTATAACTGAAGACTGAGTCTGAATTAATATATGCATGCACTCATATAATTACATTTTTCCCTTAAGCATGTTAGACTGATTTTCTAATTTATACTGATAAAATTGATGTTTCAGGGGGAATCATATAAATTCACTCAATACACCCTACAAAGAAGGAACACCTTGTGGCGATTGCCCTAATGATTGTGACAATGGACTATGCAGTAAGTTTTAAGTATTTAAATTACGACTGAAGCAAAGTTGATACCTTTATCTCTTCTTTCTTTGGAGAGTAGTTGTTGATCAGGTAGCAATAGCATCAAACCTAGCAGAATAAGAGATTAACAAATTTGAATCACAATGTCTTTGTACAAGAATTCTAGTAGAAAATAAAGGAAGTTTAGTTGAGTCACATTAATATAAATCTTCCCTTCAAATCTATCTTCTGTTATGTCTTTGGAGTAATTTCTCACCATAAACTATAGTACAGATGAAGAAAGCTTCAAAATGCCTTACAGTTTCAATGGGAAGCCTCTTTGATACAGCTAAGAATATTGCATGGGTAGTCAAGTTTTGGATGCAGTTGTAGATAAATAACAACAAAGAAAAAAGTTATGGGAAAAAAGAAACGATGACAAATTGTTCTGAAAGGAAAAAGTTCCGCATTTATGATTAATTTTATGTTTTGATTCTTTTTCAGCCAACCCCTGCAAGTATGTGGATATGTATGCAAACTGTGCGAACTTGACAAAGTCTTTCGGATGTAGCGTCTTTAATACAGGCTGCCCTGCTACCTGCCAATGCCAAACTGAAATAAAGTAACAGGCTTAGGCTTTTCCTTGCCTGGTATCCTTCTCTTTAATGATGATAACTTTCACAAAAACAGATTTTATCTCACGTTTCTTATGTACGCAGAAGGACTAACTTCAGTTGAATTTCTCACATCAGACGGAATTGTAGGATCATGTACATGTTTTATTTGCATTTATTTATCTGGAACTATAGTAGAGTTTCTTAGCTGAAAATTGGCATTTAGGCACCATCCTAAATCATGTTTATGACTCTATCTATCATGTTTAACAGCTCAGGTCTTCCTTCTCTAAAACTGTTTTCTAAGGACATTCCTTAAAGTTCCTTATTTCCATACATTTCGCATGCTCTCAGCATATCCGCATAGTCCCATCTGCTAATCAGACCAGAAAATAAACAGCATTACCATAAACATATAGTTTTCAAAGGGTATTAGGAAAGCAAAGCAGCTTCCATTAGGTTCTCAGTTAGAATTTGTGGTTCTCCTGACATACTTTTCCTTCTAAAACACTCTATTACCTTTAGTGGGAAAAGAGCATAGTTCATTTAAACAGGTGGTTCTGTTTATAGTGTAGGGTGGTACTCAGCATAAAGAAAGGTAACTAAATCTATTCTTTAAAAGAAAAGACTTGCCTGAGAAAACGGTTTAATACATACAAACAAGTAACCAAAGGAAAGGGGGTCTCTGCATTTGGAAATTTTGCTTTTAATTAAAACTAGGCAAGTCTTTTTTTTTTTTTTTCTTTTTCTTGTTAATATTTCATATTTCTGTATCAATCATTAAATTACTGATTATTCACTGAGCAATTCATTTACATTTGCATGCCACTTTGTGGCCTTACCAGCATTTAGTCTTGAAGGAAGGTTGCTTCTTTAGTAGCATAAGCAGAATCTTTTCCTGTGAGATTTCCTACTGAAAAAAAAAGAAAAAAAAAGAAAAAAAAAAACACCTTTCTCTCTGACTCACTTTCAGAGAAAATGACTGTTAATACAAATAGCATTCATTATGCACTTCTCTGGCTGCCAATGAGCAAGTGTTCCATGACACAGTTCCATGAGACTAAATGTCATTTTAATGTCACCTTAGGATGATTTCACCTTCCTGTGCTCCTGTAGGATGGAATCTGTTGTCATAGCTTCCTTGTTTCCCAGCTTCCATGTTTACAGAAGCCTTAGACAGAGACTAATTTAAGCACACATTTCTGCTCATTCATTCCAGGGGCATTTCTGCTAATCCCAAAGAGTGAGGAGGAAGTTAAAGGACTAATTTCACAGCATAAAAGTTTCAGCTTTTTTCTTTTTTCCCTCCCCATTTTCTCATTCTTCTCCACCACCTTTTTTTTTTTTTTTTTTTGCCATTGTGCCATGCTATTCTCTCATTTCGGTTATACAGGGTACATTTGCAAACATCTGTTAGTGAACTAGGCAATGCCAAGACATAGACCTGTGCACTGGAAGCTACACCTGTACTGTTATATTGTTAGTGCAAATCCTATGGCAGAATGATGATTATGCAATAGTTAATCCCAATTTTGTTATTCTTAGAGAAATAAGTAGAGCAATTGCCCCCTTTGCTGCAAAAATGAATAAACATTTTGTAATGGGCCTAGAAATGCACTGTTTTCTCTTGCATTTGCTAGTGAATTTTTGCATTTTTCTAATGTATTACCCTTCCTTCTTAACCAATACCACAAGAAATGATGTCTCGAAAGCTGTAATGTAAAAATCAGCCCTCAATATCTCATCCTAGAGGATCCAGGAAACTGAAGCCTAATTTAGCCCTATTAGCCTAATAGCCTCTAGCTCTATTAGCCTAATTTAGATACACAGAAAGATAATAGAAAAAAATGCATACTAGCCATTTTGCAATGGAATAAAATGACAGAATTTGTCAAAAGCCAATCTTGTCCAACCAATCCAACTTTCTTTTTTAATAACTATGTCTAGTGGATGGAGGCCTAACTTTGGCATGTTTGACAAACCCCCAAAGACATTTGCAAACTAGAGAGATATGATTCAGATTAAAGTAATGTCTGTGACTATTTTTTATGTGGGGTCCAACTAGTGCTTCTGAGACATGAGAAAAGTTTACTGACTGACTGCTAATGAGGATGAATTATTTGAGAATACCATATGCATAAAGCTTAGACAGATTTAGACATGAGACGAGTAACAAAAGGGCAGCAATTTTCGATCTTTGCTGAAAACAACTTCAGGCACTGAAGAACCCTTAACTGGAAGAAATGGTATATGATTATATATTTTCAGGTGCTATGCAGTTTAGTAGGATATTAATGGTTTCACTAGAATTGAAGTACTTAATCAGCAGTATGTCCCAAACCAGAATGCTGATCCTTTGAGAAAACAGTGCATTACTTCACTAATCTCTCAGTTTCCAAGCAGTCAAACATGGATAATAATTTATCTGTTCTTTTAGCATTTTTTAAAAAAAAAGAAAGAAAAAATGCTGAGTACTTGATACTGAAATAGTATAGGTACCTGAGTAACAGATAAACTTGAAACAAAGTGATGTTATAACCACTCCAAATTCAGGAAAAATTAGCTATGCTTTTCCCTCTCTTTTTCTTGTGAAGAGGTTTCACAGAAAAGAAAAACTCTTGACAACTTATTCCTTGTTATTATTATGATGTTAAATAAAATGACTAGTTTCACTTCCTCAAACAAGAGTCTGGCGCTATTTTTCCTGTGACACTTCCTCCACTCCCAGCAATTGCTTTTCCCCTGGGGACTTCACAGCCAGGCACACCTCTTCCTCCTGTCTTTTCCCCTTGGTAAGAGCTGCCTGGGACACTTCCTTCTTCCCCCATCGGCTTCTCAATTTAAGAGAGAAAGGAGGGTGGAGGAGAGTGGGGCAAATGAGACTGTTTTCTGTAGGGGAACATGGTTAAAAGCAGTCAGCTCAGAGGAGAACAGAAGATCATGGAAAGAGATGGATGGAGTGACTCTATACCACAAGAATGACAGAAAGAGTGGGAAACTGAGGCAACTGAGGGGGGAAATTGAAGGGTAAGTGTGAGTGGAAACTGCCTTGTCCCCATGTTCACTATGCCAAAAGGTCATAGAAACAGCTGATCCTTCTCACCCATTTCCTTCAAACTGAGACTTGCTCAGCATAAGCCCTAATACTAAGTTTTGCCCACACAGGAAGCCTTGAGATGGCTTTATTGATACCTCAGTGACTTAAAGATCTGGTTGAGCAAACCTGTCTGACAACACTCATCATAAGATAGAAAACTGATGTGTTGAGCAGTTGTGGTTGCTGCAAGAACATATTTTCATATAAGACTTTAAATGCTGTGATGATAGTTGGATTAATAGTCACTGTAGCCTAACATGTAAAATGCCACATTTCAGCTGAAGAACAAAATGCCACATTTTTAACTAAAAAGCAAAAGAACAGCTGGTCATGTAAATTAGAAGAATATGCCTCACTTGTGTGAGTAACTATTGATGTCTGCCTACCTAATTCTGCAAGGACTTCTGCTTTTGTAAAGAATGCACTTATAACAAAACCAAGTTTCCATAAACTAATGAATCCATAGCACCCATTGGCAAATGATGAGACAGTACTGATTATTGTCTTTTTTTCTTTTTTCTTTTTCTTTTACTTAATTTGTCTTTTTTCTTTTTATTTATTTCCAAATAATATGCAACAAAAAACTTTGCAACATTTTAAAAGACAGAGCTAAAGAATAGTCAAATATGCAGCCTTAGTATAAGGAATTTATATATTTCTTTCATCCGTCTTGTACTTACTGTGGATCCTAGTCAGCTTCTCCAAGGAAATTTGGACACTTCTACTGCCAGACTAATAAATCTCAGAAATTAATTTAAAAAGTCAAAATAAAATTCTGATAATGTAATGTTTCTAGTGAAGCAGCTGCTACAATTTCTTGAGACATGAAGATGTAGCTCTGCTTTTCAGTCTGCCTTACTCTTTAAGCAAACCACTGCCTAGCATGTATTACAAAAGCAAGAATGTACTTTCTGCAAGAGACACATCATCGTTTTGTTATTCAGTCTGTAATATTTTAAAATATGGTGATGAAATCTAATATTCTGCATTCTGTTTTAATGACTAAACATAATTTATTCTTTTTTGACACTAAACAGAAGTTATTAACTCTTGACTAATACAGACACACAAGCTCTACAAACACTACCATTATCCTGCTATTCAAACACACTTGAATCTATTGGTTAAAACATGGCAACTTCCATAACAGCCAAATAGAGCCTTGGAAACCTAGACATTTAATGGGAGAACAGCTTCACTTTTTTAAATGCATGTCACAAGCAGCTGAAATTGCCTAGTAGATAAATCTTGCCATTTCTCAGCTAAAACTTGTGACTTTAACAGAAAACTGGATCATATCAAAAATGAGAGAGGCTGCAGTAAGCTATCAGAGATTGTGAACACAGCACCATAATTAAGTTGCATTCATACTATTCATACTTCTAATTTTGATTGTTACATTAGGCAAATGTAGAGACTTTGCATGTTTGCAGGAACGTGCACATTGGGCTGAATCTTCTCTCTCACACTTCTATGAGGACAAATTGACAAAGACTCTAGTAATGTACAAGACCAGGAAATGTATTTTCTATCCATTTATCCATTTTTTTTTTTACTATCAGTGCTGATTCATCCATCTAGCTTTCAACCTATCTTATATAGGATTCATATTTATCTTTTTTTTTTTTGAGGTTGACTGAGTCATCTGCTACCTACTGTGGTATAGTCACTACCAGACTGTCCACAGTCATATTCTGTGCGCACCATATTTATATTCTACTCTGCAAGTACAAAGAAATTGAAAAATGCCAAAGACTTTTTAAAAGCCTTCATGAATTAGAAGTGGGATTTTTCCACTTCAGATCTTATTCATCTGAGCTGAACAGTGTATTTTCCATTTATGAGATTAACTTCATTAATTTTCTCTGTAATAATTAGCCACTGATAAGATTTTCAGATAAACATTATATAACAG